CCATAAAGAAACTTTAGTCAACCAAAATGACCAGTCAGGAACAAGCAACTGAGATTCCAGAGCAGTAGGACATATGTCGAGAGTACTGAAAAAAGTTATTGAATCAGTCAGCTCCACTGAACCCACCGGATGTCGACACGGCTCGCACAAACTCCCGTACAGATGATACCTCATCAATAACAGAATCATGAGTGGCAAGCGGCTAAAGTAGACGGTATACTGGCTGAGGCACTGGTCAAATTCAAGGGTAGCTGATAAGATGGTCAACATTTCCTTCAGGAGGATTTGGGGTGAAGAACAAGAACTAACGGTCTGAAACAAAAGATGTCTTATCAAGATACAAAAGAAAAGAGATTTTGGTGCTTGGCAAAGAGGTCACACTACCATCAGCATCAGACATCGTTTTCAACAGAGCGTTGTTGATTCCACCGGAGGACTGATATCAGACAAGAATGTATATTCTTGCCATTTCTCTTTCTTTTGGCCATTTTCCAAGAGACCTTCACATCTCAGGACAAGCGAAGAATCCAGTGGACACATTGGATACAGCCAGATGATTTGACAAATCAGTGGCAATATTCCCAAAACTGAGGAATATCTGGAGCTTAAAAGAACTCTCACCCAAGACCAAAACCGGAATTTTAAACAATGACGTTAAAAACGTTCTATTGTACAGGCCAAAACTTGGCTTCCGGATTTGGAAGCAAGAATCAAGACTGTGAATAGGACATACTAACAACTGAAACGTCGAACCCAGGAGAGAATTATCTAGAAATCCCTGGTGGACAGTCTATTCGTCAAATGGGCTAACGGACTTAAGAAATTATGTTGACTAACTGTTCAAATAAAAACACCTAGTTTTCTGTTACCTGGACGAGCAAAAACATAAAAGTAATGTTGAAAGCTTTACTTCAAGTTTTATCTAATGTACACATCCAATAATTTGTTTTAATAGGTTAACATAATCTGCGGATTCTGTGATACTTCCGAATAAGTGCTAAAGTTGGCAAGGATTGGAATGTTAGTCTGTTAAAAATAGTAACGATTACTTATATGATATTTATTTATTTATATTTATTTGAACACATAGATATTGGTATAAGGGGGCATCAGATACATGTGCGCCACAAAAATCTCATTTGATTTGTGTGAGGGCTGTGATACTATACGGGTGCGCAAACCGAAGCAGATGGTTTTCTTAGTGGGTCACACCCTGAGCCTTCGACCAAAAGGTCTGATCCATAAGGCAGTAGAGCAACATCAGGAGATGCAGTCTCATGGTATTCGGTGACCAACGATTGGTTCATACGCCATTTGTTCCTTCAGGATACTGGAGCCCATGTGCACCATTGTTTTGGAGTCAGGATTTCCCAATTCCCCTAGGTGGACTCTACGTATCCACCAACTCGGTTAAAGCTCGGGACATTCTCTTTTCGTCCTCTGAATTTCGTAAACAACAGTAATGCCGCGAGAAGGCAGTGACTAGAACTTCCCTGGCAGAGGCTATATACGTGTGACCATGTGAGAGCATTTTGAGAAGGAGAGGGGACACTTTCCACTCTCAACCATACCAGGGCATTTGGGGGTACTTATATGATAAGCCCAAAGAGCTGAATAAAATCTATTAAAAATATTGATTAACTAGCAAATGAGTTTTTTTTCATGTCTGTTAAGGTTAACTCATTTATACATGTCCTGGTTCAATCTTGTAAAAACAGTTTATATTGATTATCATAAAATTAATTATTCTAATGAATAATGATTAAAGTTCTCATTGATTTTTGATAAATCTAAGCTTATTTATACTAATGATTTTTTACATTTATTCATTGAAATCATTATATTTAACTACTTAAAGTGAATTACTTAATTAACCGTTGCGTTAATCTTTTAATCACATATCATGTAATAGGGTTTCTAAGAGTTCTTTCTGATCTTATATTATTGTACAAGTAATAAAACAAATCTAATCTTAAATGAAGATATTTTTTCTCTTCTGTTGTTAAAACAAATGTAGTTCACCTTATACAAATTGTAATTCCCATATCTGCATTTCATATGAGAATAAGTGATCAATATTTTGATAAACAGATCTCATACATGACTAAATACATGTGAACATGATTTACTTTTTGTAATTCTGTATTATCATTGGTGTTTTGTTACACATCATTATGAAGTGTTCCTTGGTATAATTTAGTTCATGTGATTTGTTTGGTTTAATATGTATCTCATGGATGAATAGAGATCTTAAAGTAATTTACTCTGTCCAACAATTTTTTTTTACATAATCTTATAATTTACCAGAAGGGGTTTTGTTGAAATTTGAGAAATTTCACTAGATGAGATCATGAGTCAATTAAAGCTAGACCACCATGGAAAACCTGGGAGCATTGGACGGCCGTTTCGTCCTAGTATGGGACGACTCAGCAGTGAGCATCCACGATCTCGCGCCACCGGAGAGATTCGAAACCAGGACTTATCAGTCTTGCGCGCGAGTGCTTAACCATTAGACCGTTGAGCCGGCATCCAACGGTGTTAATGTCTAACTTCAACCAATACTTCAGAATCCATAATTTACATAGTTGATTCATGTTAATTAGACAACCATCGAAAACTATGAAACATTGAATAACAAAAAAAAGAAGTTATAGAGTAGAAATGAGTAAATGACACTATTTGATAGCTTACTATCATCTGTAGTTGAAGGGATAATTGATAAACCACTATAAGTGGTTTCTATTTAATGTATAGTCATATGTGAACAAGTCTTCAAAAAAAAATTGCTCATCAAGTTTCGTTCGATTTTAATATATTCTAGCCGTACAGATTTTATGTATTTCTTAGTAAAGTGTTAGTTTGGATACTATAGCTACTATTTAGTACTTTCTTGTATATGAACACTATACGTGATATGATTGTTTATGCAGATTTATTTCACAGTTACTTGATAATCGTTGGATAAAAGATCGAAAATTAACTGGCTCGTCATGAGAACTCAATCTGATAACAGTAAATTTCGAAAATTACAGAACAAGATTTCTGACTGAAGAGAAATGAACTTTATAAAATTTATGAAGATAATTTCATCGATATTATGGACCAATCTAAGATCATCGGTAAAAACTCGGAAATAATGGACGGCCGTTTCGTCCTAGTGCGGGACTCCTCAGAAGTGATGTTAGAATATTTAAAATAACTGGTTTGATTATATATAAAATAGTTGCACATTTATATAGACTCCATTTACATAGTCTTAACAAAAATATCAAATCTTCTATTGATAAAATGAACATTTCGTTGATATTAAAACTGACGGAATTATAAACAAAGAATCTTTCTCCTAATTATTCGCTATAATCACTTTAACGCAAGTTGACAAGTACGAAATTGATTGAGATATTGAGAAAAAATACCCCCTTCTCCAAGAAAAGCTAAATTCATCATTTTTACTGTGCTGATGAACTTCATATGGAAACCACAGGTGAATAACATTCAACGCTACTTGTAAAGCCTTTATTTCACTTAAAATAACGAGATTTTAAGTGGTTATTAGAAACGATTAATGGGTAACTACGAAAATTTACCGGTAGTACAGAGAAAAGTCCTACGTTTAAGATCCTAATAATGCAATAGGTGCCATAAGGGTTATCTAGATACAAAAACATCGTTATTTGCCTACTAGTGACTAATTTACAGTGGTAATTCTTTGATTTCTGTTCGAAGTCGTGACCAGGGAAGTTCAACAATGGTGGTGAAGCAGTTACTCACAAATGGAATTGGTAGTTGGTTGTACAGTGTCACAAGTCGACTGAATTTAGAAATGCTAAACATGAAATATAATCTGAAAGGCCCAAATGGTAGTCTTTCGCCACGATAACTTAAGGTTCTGATTTCGCTTTCTGGTAGAGTAATGTACTGGCACTTCTCTGGAGTCTTGTTTTTATGAAGAAACAGATTATCAGTGATACTTTGTTTACAATGGTAATCTGAAATCAATCAGTAATATAAAGTCACAAAATTTCTAGACAATTTTCAGTTACCTTTTTGCTCTTTAGGTTTGATGTTAGCAATAGCAGGACATTTTGACGTTGCTGATCATCACTTTACTTTATATCTTCAGATAAATAACCATTTGAATGTTTTTCAGTTAAGGAGATACTACTTTAGCTTCATTAGTCTAGATAGTGATTTACTTGCTAATAAGTTTCCCACCGTTATTGATACTTGAAGCATTTGAATAGGCCTCTATCTTCCCACAATTCCGATTGAATTCGCTTAATAATACTTGAAACTGTAGGTGATAGGCAGTTCATCTTTTTTAAAAGTAAGTTAACTTTTATAAATTAAAATTACTTGAATACTTGAGACACTCAACCTATGAGTAGGCATTTCACTGAATTTGTGTGCTATCCAAACCCATCTTTTTCATTCAAGTATTGAGCTATATTAACAAAACCAATCCTAGATGGGTTATTCAACTCATAATCAGTTATTTTTCTTGTCGACTTCTAGGGGTAAACTTGTTGATATAGTTATCAAAATGGAAACTAAGCAGCCTTATATTTGCCAATCATGAAACACTGAACAACTCATACAAAGCTGAAGAGTGATTGACTATTGAATTATACGAACCACCTGTTAGTAAATTGAAGAGGTCTTACTTTACTTAAAGCAAGATTAAGTGTGAACAACCATAAGAGCTTGTTACTTAATTAACAAACTGCTAGAAAATCGGTTCCATTTATAAATTATAATTGTTGACTTCATCTCAAAGATTCAAAACTAGCTATAACTAAGCTTCAATATGAACTAATAATCAACCGAAGTAAGTTACTGACAAACATGATCGATATCTCTTCTATTTTTCTCGATATTCTTATAACAACATTTGCTGAAACTTATTGTCTTTAACATGCCTCGGACTAACAAAATCAAGTTAATAATTTCAACGTATAAAATATCGTCAAACTAGTTTAGCTAATTGACAATACGGTCAGTCATAAGTTTTGTACATTTTATATTAAGTAAGATCCAGTGAAATATTACAAAACATATTAAATTATTAATTCAAGGTGTATTTAAGGCATAAGAAATTTAAATATAAGGGACGATAAATGAAATAATGAACTAAATTGACGAATATTATTTGTTTGACTGATAGTAATTAAGTAATTCAAACTAGTAGTCATATTTCTTTACATTAGACATTAAAATACTACTAATTATAATGTGCTTTGGTTGTTGATACAAAAAAATGGAAGTAACTGACACGAGAAGAGACAAAATTATGAAGAGTACGAAGAAGAAGAAGACCAACAAAACGTTCAACAATGTTTGGCTCTACATATATCAGTGAATTCCGGTTTTAATGAAGCCCCACCAACCAAAAATCCATCAACATCATGTTGTCGAGCTAATTCTTTACAATTGGCAGCAGTTACAGAACCTTTGTGTGTAGTAAAATAAAAGGCGAAAGAAAAAAAAACCATTTTTAATACAGACCATAAATATTCACGTTAACAATCAAAATTGATAATGTATTTCTAAGGATTAATAACTGAATAGTTAAACTGTAGACAGCGAGGGATTCCAAGATATCTGTTGTACTGTTTGAAACTCGTCAGCTGGATTCACCTGTTTCTAAGTTTTGATATCTATGTCATGAATCGAACCCAATACCATTCACGTCAAAGGCCAATGCATTATCCACTAACTTGTTTTATGCGAAGATATGTCTATCATTAGAAGTGAAGTGTTTGAGTTACATCTAGCTGATTAATCTTCTAGTGAGAATCCATCTATTGTAAACAATGTGCATATAGTGTCTACATACAACACAGTAGATATATATTCCAGAAAGAAGAATTCAAATTCAATGATGAATGTCAACAATGATATAGTTCAAACCCTTTTTACCAGTTATATAGCCATCGTATCCCGTGAAAAGTGTAATTGGTTGTCTAGACTTATTAGCTTAGTGGATCACATACAAGTGTGTGAATCAAAAGATAATGAATTTGAGTCCCAATATAAATATTAACAATAAGATGCAGATATATCGAGTTGATGAATTTCAAAAAAGATGATAGATTGATTTAGAATTCTATTACTAACTATAAATAATCTATTCTACAAAATAACTATATCGGAACAATTCATAAAGGATGAACATATATATACCAAAAAGGATAATGAAATTTCAATCTTAAATATTAGCATAATAATAATAAGTTAAAACAAGAACATCAAAACTATCCTATAATAAACATTATATATATAATAATGATTATAATCACCAATAAATCAAAAGAAACACTTGTTCCTATGAAATTATGTACTCTATAGTGATATATATTATTATTATTATTACTATTACTATTATTATTACTGCTATTATTATTACAAAACTTTTTCTAAATGCTTTGAAGTACATTTTAAAAATAAAAAAAAATTAAGGTGATGATGTAAACATTTTTTTATTTTAAAAATTAAATTATTATCAAAAAACCCTTTAATCGATAAAAAGTAAATTTATTTATTTATTTTATTAATCAATAAATAATTACATCCTTAAAGTGGTTTAATGGCTAAGCGCTCGGGCGCGAGACTAGTATGTCCTGGATTCAAATCTCGCAGGTGGTGAGATCGTGGATGCGCACTACTGAGGAGTGTCATACTAAAACAAAATAGCCGTTTAGTGCTTCCAGATTTTCCATGGTGGTCTAGCTTCAATTGACTTATGATTTCAACTAGTGAAATCTCCACAAAACCCCTTCTGAACATAATTATTGATAAATATCATAATGTGAATGAAAAATGTCATAAATAATTTTTCATTTTAAAAAAAAAATTTCCCACACTATGAAACTTGTGTTGTGTATTGTATTTTTTTAGAAATTATCAGTTCACAATCACTTTCATGCTTATTAATACTATTCAATGGAAGTTATTCACAATATTTAAGTCTTGATTATCTAACCCAAAAAAACAGTTTGAATTGAAATCTTCATAGTATGTAGGTATCATTATGAAGATTTGATTTGATAATTTCGAATAAATTGAGCATTGGGTAGATTTTTATAAATAAATCAATATATTTTTAATATCCCAATGAGTAGAAAAATTAGATTTTCTGACGTTTGGTGACTTAGTGTAAGCCACTTCTTCAGAGAATTTACTCTGAAGAAAAGGCTTACATTAAGTTACGAAACGTCAGTAAACCTTCATAGTATGTTTACATATAAATGTAAGCAGTCATTATATGTGAAAATTATATTTGAAATAATCTCAGTTAATTATTTCCATGTAGTTGAATTTTTTTTTACATGATTCGCATTTAACTGACTCATGTTTATCCTATTTTACAAGAATCATCTTTCAAATTTGATTGGTTTAACAAAGTATACTTATGATTGTTAAAAGCTATATATTTCTTTGATGAGTTTGATTATTACCCTGAAGAAGTCCAAACAAGTTATTTGGACGAAACGTTGGAATTATTTAAATTTTAATCGCTGAGATTATTTCAAACATAATTTTCACATATAATGACATCTGTATACTCGGTGCTTGATTTCTGTGAAATTATTCGTTCTAATCTTGGTGAATATTTGTATATAGAAGTAAGAACTTATAAATATAAATATTAGGAAATTGAAAGCCTGAAAATCATCAGTAAGTGACGCCAGAATTATTAGTAACTTAATGATTGATTAAAAATTTAATAAATGATTCAAATTCTCGAATTAAACAACATTTATGAAATGTAATAACTGACTAAAAGTATCTAGCACATATTTCAGTTACTTAGGGAGTTCGAAGAGAAACTCATTAACCTCTGACACAAGGTTATTTTAGCAATTATTGAATTTTAAAAATATTTTAAAACGTGTAAAAGACTTAGGTAAAAGTATAATAAATTGATGCCCTTGAGTTAATCAATCAGAATTATGATAACGCACCACGTGAATTTCGAGCGAAGTTTAAAGTGCAGCGATAGATAATGTGTATGTTATTGCTAACCAAGTGAAAATTGACAATATTTGGTTCTTAAAATATTTAAAATCAATAAAGATAGTTATCATGAAACAATAAAGTAGATTTTGAATGACGCTTAAGCTAAATTACATAACATGCCCGCTTCTGAAGTAGACAATGTTAAAGTACTTGACGTGCTTCATTGGATAATCAAGAGTGTTTAGATGATGTTCTCGCTTTTTTACCCTCACTCAAAATCTTAACCCTAAGTTCCTCTAGCCTTTAGACAAAAGAGTAGCAAAGCATTTCATCAGTGTTAGTGTCAGTTCGTGTTGAGAACCCTGACCATAACTTGTAAACTTAACTCAAAACTCGAGCTTAACTGTTAAAACCTAACCCTAATCTTTTGTATTATAATTGATATCAGTTTCAAATGAAAACTCTATAGAGTGATAACCTCAACGTACAAAACTAGCACGATTTCTTATACGTATTCATATACCCTTTTTTCTTTACTAAAAGGGATGATTTGTTTTGTGATGGTTAATTATCACGATCAAAGCTGTTATTCCATTATTATTTCATTACTTTGTATTGTTAATTGTTTTATAACTATGTGGCGTTTCCTGATTGGCTTATTATTCACCCAAGGTCGTCAGTATATGATACTTTTATCAGATAATATAATGTCGAGTCAGTATTTTATACTGAATAAATATAATAAAAATAGAACAATTAACTAGGAAGAAAATCAAAGTAAGATTCACTTACCACCATAGATAATACGTATTTTTTCATCAACTCCACTTGGTGCATTTGTTTTAAACCATTTACGAAGGAAATTATGAACCTCTTGAGCTTGCTGTGGTGTAGCAACTTTACCTGTTCCAATAGCCCATACTGGTTCATATGCTACGACTACTCGTTTCCATTCATCAGCTGATTTAATCTTATCTTAAATGAAATGGTATTATTTCAGTTAAAGTTATTACAAGATATTTGATGGTTTTGTATAACAAGTTAAACTAGAAAAATAAAATAAGGAACGAATGTGTCTAGTAATTGCTATTATCACGTATTGAACTAAATACTGACTGGACTTAAAACATTTATTTAAAAGGTTACTATTTAAAATAACACTTCATACATTTATGTGAATTGTTAGATTAAAAAAAAAACATTTGGTTCAACAAGAAATTTTCAGAGTGATGAATTCGAATAAAATGTAGTCAATCAATCTGTCAAACAGTCAACAAAGAAAAGAATTTTAATTTGGTAGGGTTTTTTCTTTTGATGACGTTTAACTGAGAGAAAACAGTTGTATGATACACACAGATCGTCATTAGTTGTCCTAGAAGTACATAATTTCGATAGGCATCATTTACAAATGTTGTCTTGATTCGATTTTGAAAATACTAGCTATGTTTATGATATGTATTGTAAGATATCTAAAGTTAATTTCTAATTACAAACAACTGTTATATTCTTCTTATATAAAATGGAATCTATGCGAACTAGGTAGGCTGGAAGATCCACATACTATAACACATCGATGCCAATAATCCATAAACGAATAAAATAAGAAGAATATCGATTAATCTAGACTAGTGATTCAGTAACCGTACAAATCTATATAAGGAAATTTCCACAAACATAGCATTCTTATCTTTACTGTTAGAAAGAAGGATTTTGTAAGCTTATGAGTGAATTTTCAATCAGTGAATTAAATAAATAGAATATTGACTGATAAGTTATAAGCAAAGATACGATATGATTGAATGGTTTCTCATGTGATGAAAATTATTAACATAAGCCCCTGAATAATTTGTGATCAATAACAAGACCACTAACAGAACAGTAGAACAATTTTTATTAATAATAACAACATAATTAAATTGTATCATTGATTGATAGAAATCAGTTTGTAATTCACTTACTTATTGTACAGTAATATCAAATAAAAGATTGATAAGAATGTACATAAATGAAAGATTTAATCGTATAAGTTTTTCCTTATATAAATAATTTTATTAGAAAGAATAGTATTTAGATACATTTTGATCAATAGTTTAATATTACAACATAAACTTTTCTCAATTTCAATGGTTAAGATCATGAGTCAGTTGAAGCTAGACCACCATTGAAAACCTGGAAGCACTGGACGGCCGTTTCGTCCACCGTTGGATGCCGGCTCAGTGGTCTAGTGGTTAGGCGCTCGCGCGCGAGACAGATAGGTCCTGGGTTCGAATCGCGCAGGGAGCGAGGTCGTGGATGAGCACGGCTGAGGAGTCCCACAATAGTACAGTGCTTCCAGGTTTTCCATGGTGGTCTAGCTTCAACTGACTCATGATCTCAACCGTTGAAATTACTATAATATCCACAAAAAACCGTTTTCTGATTTTTAGCAATTTATTTAGCTTTCCATGTTTATTTATTTATTTATTTTAACACATAAGTATAGGTACAGGGAGGCACCAAATACATATGCGCCACACAAATCTCAATTGATTTGTGTGAGGGCTGTGATACTGCCCGGGTGCCCAAACCGAAGCAGGTGGTTTTCTTAGGGGGCCACACCCCGAGCCTTTGACCTGAACGTCTGACCCACAAGGCAGTGGAGCATCGTAAGGAGATGCAGTCCCATGGTAGCCGGTGACCAACGATTGGTTCATACGCCATTTGTTCCCGCAGGATACTGGAGCCCATGTGCACCATTGGTTTGGGGTCCGGTTAAAGCGCCAGACATTCGCTTTTCGTCCTCTCATTTTTGTAAACAACACCCCCGCCACGAGAAGGCAGTGAGTAGGACTTCCCTGGCAGAGGCTATATACGCATGGCCATGTGAGAGCATTTCGAGAGGGAGAGCGGACTCTCCCCACTCTCGGCCGTACCAGGGCATTTGGGGGCATTTTTTATCAAATGCGATAAAAAATTTAGCTTTCCAACTTAATATTAAATAGTCTGCTGTGATAAGAACAAAAAAATACAATGAATATGATTTATTTGCTCAACAAAAAGTAATCCTCATCATTGTAACCAAGTTAATCTTTTATTTAGACAGAATAGAAATTAAAACAATGATATGTTTAATTCACTTGATATTGTTTTACTTGAATATTCCCATTGATGTTTAGAACTGAAATTGATCAGTCTCTTATTGGCATATGTGCATACTGTGCGTATGCCTCGATATTGCCTTAATTTACAAGCATTATAAGCAAAGATGGATAGTGGCTAGCAGTGGAATCCAGGACGCGATGGCGTTTGAAGCGAACGGTACTGCATTCGAGTCCCAGAGTGAACATCAACTCTGAGATGCAGGTATATCCAGCTGACGGGTTCCAAATAGGACGAAACACGTGTCCTGGATTCCACTGCTAGCCACTATCCATCTTTGTTTATAATGATATGTTTAGTTCAAGATTAAATACATTTTAGAAATTAAATAAAACATGAGAAAGTGTAAAGAAATGATAAATAAGGATTTTCACACTTTGAAATACACATAAAAATAATGATTATTTTATGAAATAATATACTTCTAAAGGTCAGGTGATTATTAGTAATACTAATGAGAAGCCAATGATAACATAACGAACGACAAATAACCGTTGGTTCAGTTTGGTGTATCATTATAAGAAAGAGAGAATTAAAATCAACTAAACAAATAGAAATTCATTCAATGTAATAATTGTATGAATGTTAGTAAAAAAGAAATATTAGGAATATAGAATAATGATTTGAAAAGCAGATATAAAATACAGTAGTGTGAAATAAAAACTTTAAAATATACTTACTTGCAATAGCTTTTAACTGTCTAACGCATACTTCTTCCGTTTTATTAGATTCACGCTCTGATAATGTTTCACCAATACATGCAATAACACTTAAACCTTCAGCAAGTGCATGTTGAACTTTTTCAGCAATCAGCTTTGTTATCAAAAAAAAAAAATAGGGGAAATAATTTTCATAAAAAAAGAAAAAAAAAGAGAAATATTCTGGTAAATATCTTTGAAAATCGAATAATCAGTAGATTGGTTAAAACAAAAATTATATAAATATTTTTAGTATATTGATGAATAGAAAAATGTTGAACATAAAACATTTAATAACTAAGCATAAATCACTTTTTCAAAACGTAAATAACTTCTTTCAAGTTAATAAAAAGCTCAATCTTGGAATATTACAAATATATCAGTTCTATTATTGATAAACTTAAAACAATGTATTTCAAATTATTTTCTATTACGGACTGCTTAAGTGAGAATATCTTTAATGTTTATCCCAATACAGTACAGAAATATTACAATAAACTATTTTGAAAATTGATCGTAAACAATGCTGAAATTCCTACGATAGTTTGTTAAGTTTTAAATGGAACAGAGTTTTAAATAATAAACTATGTTGTTTGTGATGAGTCGTTCAAACTTTAAGACAGTTTCTGTTACAAATTGATATCAATTAGATAATTACGACAAAACTAGGGAAGACTGAATATATGCATCGTACACGTTTCAAATTCCTATATAATGTACATAAATTTTACATTAATTCATGTAGAAAGCTTTCTTCTAAACATTCACATTAGTAAAAATTTAAAGTGAACACCAAGAAAACACTTATCAGATATTTTGATGAAAATTATTTGTTTTATCCAATGAAACAAACAGCTTGCTCAAAGTCAACAACTACAAATCGATCGATTAACTTGAATAAATGTTTCTTATTTTTGTAGCTCAATAGGAATCGATAAGTTAACATACTTTTGAATACATTAAGCTAGTTTTGGGCACAGTTTTTCCATTAAAAAAATCATTTTTAAACCAACTTAACTGAATAACGATATCAAACCATGTAATGTTTCAGTTGAAAAGTTCCCATTGGAAGATAGGTGTAAACTAACGAATGATTTGCATTCTAATATGTTGAGAACAGTTTGTTCTTATGCTTTTTACCTAGTATCATTGCCGTAAATTTTATATCTATCAACGGATTCAATTACTCAGGAAAAAGGTGATGATATGTAACATCAAACTCGGGATAAATGTACTCATATTCTATATCATACTAATATGAGAAAATTAAAAGGAGGAAATCCAAATAGTAAAAATAGTTATATCAATAAAGTGGAATACTCAAATTACGAGAACAGCGTTTAAAATGTGGAATCGGGTAAAAGTATGTATGGAATATAATTACCACAAATCAAACCAGCAGTCATGAAAATTATTTGTTAATGTAATGAATTCGAGAAACGGCTGCTAACTTTGTTGCAATATGTTCTTATGTTGATAAGTCTTCTAAATGAACGCTAGATTCGGTTTCCTAAGCTCTTCTAGTAAACCCCATGCTAAACCTACACAGCAACCTAATATTAAATGGTGGCTGCTTATAAGTCTATCATCTGATCCATTACCTGTAGCAATTACTCTTGAACTAATATAAGAATGATTCACTCTCTAGATACCCCATTACAGAGTAACAGTTCAAAGAAAACTACCAACCGAAGCTAGTAACTTGCACATTCAAACACTATTTTACATAGGCATAAATCAAAAGAAAACAGGACGTTGAGGATTATATTAGCACGCACAAATATTGCTTAATCTATTATATTATAAGTTGTCAAAAGCTACATTTTAATTTGTTTACAAATAATTCGCTATTCTGTGATTACTTTTTAGCTGAAGATAACTCATAACTTAGCGTTTACTTTAGTACAATTTAGGTTTTATCCCAACAACATTGACCATATTATTTTGCATTTTGTCCCCAAAATGCTTCCGATAAGACAAACTGTATTTATGAAACCTTTTGAGGCACTTATTAGATACATAAGAAACATCTTTTGATAAATTTCTACCAAATTATGATAAACAACTTGAACGTTTATGTATCCCTACCTCAAATTCACGCGGTTGAATTCAAAAACGACATTTTTAAAGAGATAAAAAGAGTACGCCTAGCCAATTAGACAGGCCAAACAACAAATGGTAAGTTCTGAGGAAACAGACGCGCTTTCGATTTAAAATGGGGATTAAACTCCTGAGGTTTATAGACGTACATATACGGAAGGGTTTTGGATGTACTTTTGACTCGCTTAGACAAATAATATGATCAAGTTCACCTCTAACTTTCTCATTCAAGTATCTGGTCATACACGAGCATGGAAAGCTGGTATGTCAGTAGAAGACTAGGATGACCATAAAACATAAAAAAGTAGAATATGCGTCCATAAATACCCTCAACAAACATTAAATTTTCCCGATTGTATCATAACGAAAAGAATCAAAACCAACCATATATTTCAAATTATCGATTAACGGATGACATTCCTGACAAAAAAAATGTACATAAAATAAAATCACAGATAATTGGTTCAAATCTATCTCAGTTTTTATTTTTACTATATTTTGGTAGTCCAGATAGTGGATTACGATCGTGAAATCTAGTATATCCATCAATTTTATAACCCTCAGTGCAGTTTCTCAAAGTTATTGATATTGATAATGATCGATGGTTTTCTTTTTAATGGTAGATATCTGTTAAAACATTTACAAATGAAGAAATCTGGTCAATCTCAGTAGTCAATTAAATATATAATGGACATTTCACTGAAATCAGTATGTCACGGATGTTTTATTTTAATATGACTTTATTTTCACAAAATACAATTGCACACCAGATACACTCTCTAGGAACGTTCACAGAAAATATCTTTCAAGTTTGGACTAGTTGTTGCAAACCCTAGTTTTATAACCTAACAAATAGGCAAGCCAATATTTATCTTAATGTTTATACATTAGTTATAATGTATCAAACCAGATAGGTGTTAACTGTCAGAAATAAAATAAAGGTAGTTGTATTTCTGTTCACAAAATTACTGTTAGAAAGTTCGTTCATATATCATAAAATGGAAGTTGTTTCCTTAAGATGGTACTGTTAAAAAACCTACTTCATCAGATTCACCAAAAATGCTCCTACGCTCAGAATGTCCAAGTATTACCCATTCACAACCAATATCTTTTATCATTGCAGGGCTAAACAAAATTTGTGGAGAAACAAGAATAAAGTTGATATATAAGTTAATATTAGTTTGAAACGAAGACGGAGAAACGGTATTCAGTATATGTTTTGTCATTTCTAATAACTGTGTCAAAAGAAAAATCATGACTTCACTTACTTATTACAGAAAGAATAAAAATCGCGACGTAAGAAATAGCATACTTTTATGCATAAAAGTATAAAGCTGTAAATAAATCACCATAATAAATAATTTTGTCAGTCTTCGACGTTAATGCTGGCCTCGTTAGTTTTATTGAACACATCATAATTTTAGGAGCACGGTCAAGCATCCGCACCAGATAACTATTGAGCTAGCCCTACTACGTATTCCGCGCAACAACTAGTCAGCTTAGCTCATATATTTCCCGACATATCAACTGTCTTTTAAATATACCTCCAAACACTCCCATTCTTGATTTATGGTTTGACTGGGTTTGTGATTTTCTATTAAAAAGGTATTATAGATGACAGCGTTGTCAAGCCCTGAATACCCGTGACATATTTAATCAGCTTATTGCTTTGAGCTAATTTGATAGTGTAATTTGTTTTTAGGTAACACAGATTTATCGTTAAAAAAGTTGGAAATAGTATTAAAGAACAAATCATGTAACAAAAGACCCAATAAGTCTTGATTTTTCTCGTTTGGTTACAGGAGAATAAAAAGCACGGAGAGATCACATTTTTTCTTACCAATAGCTGCCACTGTCCGAAATGGCATCCAACCAGATGTAGTATGTCATCTCACTAGAGGTTTTCGATAGTGAGCTTGACAACAACGAACTCAATCATGACCTAAAACCTCTGGTCCAAAGTAGCTGTGCTTAATACGCGTCTTGCTGCTCACCTACCATTATTATTACCCTGCCTCTACCACATTTTCCCACTTCCCACTGTTCATTTGTCATTCCTACATTTCGGTTTGTTTATACTGTTTGCGTCCTATAGCAATGGTCTTTTCTAGGCCACTGTTTCCTCACTCTAAAACATCCATGTGGTATCCATTCAATATCTCACCCGGTAGTTTAATAACTTTTGGTTCAGAAGACGATACTACCCTGAACCAAATTAATTCACTCAAGATATACAAACTGGTAAATCACTTAGGAAAATAATGGAACTGGCCAAGTTGCTAGACTGCTTCCATATAAATCCATTAAAGACCTGAATCCGTATCGCAATACTAAGGAAGGAGCACAAACAAAACATATGGTTTACATGAACTCGTCACTATGATCTCGTAAATTTGAAGCAAGTACCTACTTGGTCAAAAATGTTTCCACTGCATATTGTCCATTAGATTTTAATTTGCTTTATTCTCCATTGTTTACTTACTTTTAGCTTCAATACACATAACTATTCAGTATGTAGTAAAAGGTTTATTCCTGCTATGAAACCATGACCCTTGGTAAAGCCGCGAGTTATGTTATTTTTTGGTAATAGCAACAAATAAAAACAGCTTTATGGTTTCCATCTCATAAAAATGAATAGAAATCTTTTATTGGATCATTTAGCAACTATATGTGGTTCAGTAGGAACAGTTACCTGATTTCTCCAGTAAATGCACCCTTCGATACTTTATAACAATTTTGAGCAGCAACATGTATTTCCTTCTTCAAACTTTTTCGAACGTCGTGCAAAAATACGGATGGTGGAGCAACTAAAACTTCTAAAATTGAAGTATTTTTCGGACGTGACGTCGTAACAAACCCGTGTTGTCATCAAAATGAGCTTCTGAAAGTAATTTAAGTAACTTTTCGTTATCTTCTCTGCCTCCGTTCATTTTCCAGTTCCCTCCAACAAAAAATTTGCGAGATCCAGACATTTTCTTAGTGGATGAAATCTATATAATTAGTAACTGAAAGAAGTCTTCGACCGACGCGCTCAATAGATTAATGAAGAAGTTCAGTAACTCATTGTAGTGAAACAATCCTCGCGTTAATGTAATGCCCTACAGTTGTTTTGTGACTACTGGCAGTTCATCAGTAAGAAAGTGGTATATTTCGATCTTCTGTTAGTTACCATGATCCTATTAATTTTGTTTCGAACGGAATCAACAAGGTGGTATAGCCGTATCATGAATTCACTTAATTTCTTAATATTCTATCGCTTGTGTTAGACGCTCTAATCATTCATATGTTACCTACTGAGTCACTTGTATCGGCGTACATTTATGTCTGAGAACAAGCTCGTGCTATTTTGTCTGAAGATCTTACAGACACAGTTTATAAAAACAATGAACATCGTAGACTATTTGGTAGTACTTGATGAAAATTTGTTGATTACTCTCTAGAGACTAGGTAAAGATAGATCATAATTTGTGAAATGATACTGACAATCTGAAAGTGTTTTGAGAAATTGTGTATACTCATACGCACCTATATTCGATTGAGTTTCATCACATAAATAAACGTCCTACAAAATATTACATAACTTTCACATATTGATCTGGAAGGAGATATAGGGTCTCTCGAACACTTTTGTTCATCAAAGTGAGTCAAATAGTTCAGATGGTTGAAGAACTACCGAAATAGAGCGAAAATCTATAAAGACGTACAATACTTCTAAATGAAAGTACTGTCAGAACTATTATGTGTGTTTCACACATAACATCATCTATAAAACTATGAGAATTTAGTGTTTGTGAGCATACAGTATTATTTCATCTCACCGTAGCTACATTCTAGAGGTTGTGGCGGTAAAGAAATCTCTGGAATGGATAGTTCCGTAAGTCTTCGACATTTGATGCAGACCGCATTGGTTTCAGTGGAATCACCTAACTGAAGGCACTCGGTCAAGCATCCGCACCAGATCACGACGGAGTGAGCCATACTACGCATCTCATACAACCCTTATACAGCTTGGAATGATCACTTCTTGATATATCGATAGCCTGTCAAGTATATCTTTGAACCTTTTTGTTTCTGGTTTCTGATTTCGCTGGGTCGGCACGCTTCGAATACAAAAGGTGTTATTGGCAAGGGCGTTGTCAAACTCTGAATACTTGTGTCATCTTTAGTGGTGGTCCCGACCTGATCTGATACTCCAACTTGCCAACAATGATTCTGTAGAATTATGGTCTACTTCGTTATTAATACCGCTCTAAAAAGTGATTTTATTCTAAAATTGTAGATTTGTCATGATGTAACTGCCTAACTTATAAGATCCTACGTTGAAGTCATATTATTATCTACACCAACTCATCACATCGTAGCAATCATCAATACATGATGAAGAACTCACTTAAGCCAGAGATAGGACAATGTATTTAATATGAATAAAAGGCATGTAACAACACTCAAGAGTCGCCACGCCTGAAAGCCGAGCCATGCCAACCGACGAATTCCTTGTCGGCGCCTTATATGGCTAGGGTCCAATTTCACTACAAGTCTGTCCCCTTTTGGGACTTTATATATTAATTTTTACATGTGATAATTTTTGGTATTTTTAAATGTCTTTATCTCGTTCATTGCCATAATTTATGTCCTTTTGTTATGATTGTTAGCTTTATTCAATAATATATTTTTGGTACGATATAGAATTTTCAGCACACAGTTTTTCAGCAAGTTTACTTTTCGTATTTCTTGATCAACCATTGCGACAGATATTGAGTGGTCACCAATTAGATGTTAGAATTTCAGGAGTAGACGTCTGGTTAATGTACACTCCTTTCGGTGCATATGCTAGCGACCACGATGTCGCTGATTTGGCTCTTTTGTAACTTATACGGCAAAATGTCGTAAGCGTATCACAAACGCACCTGAATATGTCATGCGACTAATAACCATTATGATGTATTAAAACAAACAAGAACAGATAACTCGTTGAAATATCCAGATGACAGGTAAAGGTAAACCAGATATTCAAGCAGGTCGCGTTTATCATAAATGAACAGACTAAAGTCGCTGAAGATGAAGACTCTTACACCACTCTCATTTCAGCTAATGTCATTCTGACCCGACTAAATCAAACCCTGGTCCTGCTACGTAAAAGCTGATTTCACCAGCGCGGCGTGACAAGTTCACAGTTTCTCGCAGTTCTGAAGGTACTAACACACGATTTCAACAGGTATGTTCACCAGTGATGTCTCAGGACCTTACAAAACTTCAAAAAAGTCTATTCTTAAATGTGTAGATCACAACGACAGACGAAGATTAGACAAATTCTTCAACGACGTCGAACTACAACATGGCGCAGCAACAGTAATGTTCAACGAATGTGAGAGGTCATTAGTAAACAGACTTTTGACGGGGGCTTGTTCAGACAACACTTCTTGTCTATGCTTCTCCAACAGATGCAGGCAGTGCTTGTCTCACCTGAAAACAACGCTGTAGACAAACTGGCTGCATCCGCCGACTCAGCTGTGGAGGTCCCGAAAACAAACAAAAACCCCAAGCGACACCAAATTATGTCACAAAACTTCGTCACACACAGACAAGTTACCTTAATATTCATCATGACCGTAGACGCCCTCAAACTCCTCGGAGGAGCCCTTCATGAAAACAATCTGTCTCCAGATCACGAGAGACTGATAAACCTGATCAGTGCTGGTGTCGTAATAATTATGGTAAGCCTCCATGAAACTGTATAAAACCCTGCAGGTTTTCGAGCTCAAAACCAACCGACACGAAAAACTTTTCTAGAAACTTCCTTTCCGGCGCGCATCAATAGCAACCATAGCTGGTGAACATAGTTGTCTGTTACAAATCACTGATGCGATGACGAAAGTTCGCTGTCTTAAGACTAGAAAAGAGGTTAGTGATCTTACTGAAAATTCTAACGATCGACTTCATGAGGCGGTTTCTAACCTCCAAGTGGCAAGTAGGAAACCGATCGCCATATACGGCAAGCGCTATTTTTATCTTACCTGGATTTATGCAAATCGATCCATTGGATCTTCGTTGTTGAAGATGTTTTTATGCCAATCAGTGATATGGATCTGCTACAACATCATTATTCACTCATCGAAACACCCAAACGGAGGCTACTAGGCGGAGATACTAATTTGTCTGTTTGTGTGAGTTCTTTTTCTGGTTGTAGATTAACCCTGGCACAGTAAAACACACGATTAATCCATACTATCAACAACTAATCGATAGGTGTCCCGGGATGTAATGAACGCGAACAAATTTACCACATGTAACCAGAAATGTTACACATCACATCACGACTACGGGATCACTCGTATTTTCGGAAGCGGGCCGACTAGTTCCCGAAAAGCTGAGTTTTACTAAAAACGAGAAGTGCAACCAAAAGACTGCATTTTGTCAGCTTCTTCACCAAACAGGATTGTATCATCTGCGTCCTCTAAGTCGATAAGTGGACCACCTGGAAGGAGATCAACTTTAAAAAATTCAGACGACCAGAACGTTATTCCATCAGTATATCTATGATCAAGTTAAACAAAAGTGAAGATGGTGGACAGCCTTGACGGACACCATTTAAGGCGGCAAAACCAGACGACAGTTCATCATATGCAACGACTCGACTGGTAGTGTTCGAGTAAAGAGCCCTTACAAGGTTTATGTACCTCCGGGGTTCACCTTTAAATGACAGACACTGCCACAGAACCTCTAGGTCGACAGAGTCAAATGCTGCTTTTAGGTCGAGAACGACCGCCACTATCGGACGCCGATAAGCATGCCTGTGTTCTAAAATCTGACGAATCATGAACATGTGGTTGATGCAACCACGATCAGGTCTGAAGCCATTCTAATTTCCTCATGTTTGCAGTTCACGAGTCTTTGTTGGGCTCCGGATAATCATTGAGGCTAGTATTTTAGATGCTATGTTAGTCACACTAATCCCTCAATGGTTATCACAGGACGATTTTGACCCCTATGTATTTATATATTTGAACGATCAGTGATTGCGATTGATCTGATGGGATTACGTCCAACTCCCAGATTTTAGCTGAAATATTAGTCAACCTAACCGCTAAAATCGGACCACCGTCCTCGAATACCTGTGGAGCCAATCTACCTGAAACAGTTACTCTTCCTCGTTTCAGATTAACTACAGGTTCTTAAACTTTAGCTGGAGTTGGGAGACCTACTTTAATGTTCCATTCACACTGTCTGGGAGTGGTGGACTGACAGATGAACTGCTCCTTGAAATCTTCTGCCCATCTTTTTAAACGTCTGGACCAGAAGGAGATAAGAGTGTCGTCTTTTTCCAAGGTAGTCTCACTTACACTTGACTTATTAGTTCCAGTTCCTTTTATTAGTCTTGTCTTACCTACAGCCGCCGCCTTTTTCATCTCTTTTGCTTTCTTTGTCACCACTGCTCGCGGTCGTTCCCCAGACTTTTGCCTAACCTAAATCTGATTTCTTTACGGTCTTCATCGTGTTCAGAACCTGATGGGATGAGTATACGATAACCCATCAGTCTTAGGAGAAATCCATTGTTTTTTTGTAACTTTTTGTTTTAAATCACTAATAGATGTTACTGCTGTCTCCACAGCTTTTTATATATCTCTCTGAGCAACATCTGGTCCAGCCTCATTTTCAGAACTATCTAGGTGTGACCTCAGTTGTTCCTGGAATCTACTTTCGGCTTCCTCATCACTCAGTTCAACTGCAATAGGTCTTCCTTTGTGGCTTTTCTGCGTCCAATGGGGCGCAAGCAGTTGCGTGTTCGTATAAGAACATGATCGGAGTCGACGCAGGTGTTCCAGAATGAGCGACAATCTTCTATTGACAGTCTCCAACGATGAATGTTGGCAATGTGGTCTATTTGAGTTCGTTGGTTTGGTGCAGAGAATCGCCATGTTAGACGATGTCTCCCCGGTGGCCATTCTGGACCACCAAGAAACAATTATGCACATTCGACGACCTAGCAAGTTTCTATCGACGGTTCATACAGAAACGTGCATCTCTTATGAGACCCTAAACCGACTAACATCTAAGAAACGA